TAAGCGCCGCGTGCCCAGAGCGCGGGCGGTCAATCTGCAGCGCTCCCGGGGCCGGCGCTCACCGTGTGCCATGTGCCCAGGGCCAGCTCCGGCACCGCGCATGTGCCACGTGCCCGGGGCCAGGCCAGCCCCGACCACTTGGCAGGTGCACACAAATGCCCCTGCGGGCGCCATGGCACCTGCGAGCACCGTGTTGGGGACCACGGCAGTAGACCTATTTGAAAGCATGCAGTGCAACCAGACCTTAGTGTAGGTAAGAACCAGGCTCACTAGAGTTCCACACTTTGTACTTGTGGTAAGGGCCCATGGTAAAACTCTGGACAGAGACATTCTCAGTGGGCCTATCATAAGACAGGCTGTGGATCTGCCTATTTACAAACACACAGCAGGCCCTTGTGACTGGGGAAGGGAACAGGCTGCTGGAGAGCTCTGCCTACAGGCAAACAGTCTCACGTCCTTCCAATTCCAGAGCAGAAGAGGGGCCCAGTGGGGAGTGATTGTTGCCCAGAAGTTCCCTGTGTGTGCATCTGTGATCTCCGCACACTTCCCCTGCCTGCTGTTTGCACGCTGCTGGAAGTGTGGGTGAACACAGGCCAGAGGCTGATGGGTGCCACGGAGGCCAGACACAAGGCTTTGCTAGCAGGGCTGTTTTGCTGCAGTTATGTTCGGGTTTTTTCCTTCTCTTCCCTCCCCATCCCCTTTCTTTCTCTGCTATTTATTTGGTTCCTGGACCCCTAACTCCATGCATCTGAAGAAGTGGGCGGTGCCCACAAAAGCTCATGATCCCAGCTACATTTTTGTTAGTCTCTGGGGGTATGTCTACACTACCCTCCTAGTTCGAACTAGGAGGGTAATGTATGCATACCGCACTTGCTAATGAAGCCCGGGATTTGAATTTCCCGGGCTTCATTAGCATAAGCGGGGAGCCGCCATTTTTAAATCCCCGCTGCTTCGAACCCCGTGTAGCGCGGCTACACGGGGCTCGAACTAGGTAGTTCGGACTAGGGTGCCTATTCCGAACTACTGGTACACCTCGTTTCACGAGGAGTCCCGGTAGTTCGGAATAGGACCCTAGTCCGAACTACCTAGTTCGAGCCCCGTGTAGCCGCGCTACACGGGGTTCGAAGCAGCGGGGATTTAAAAATGGCGGCTCCCCGCTTATGCTAATGAAGCCCGGGATTTGAATTTCCCGGGCTTCATTAGCAAGTGCGGTATGCATACATTACCCTCCTAGTTCGAACTAGGAGGGTAGTGTAGACATACCCTGAGGTGCTTCAGTCCAATTCCTTGTTTTTAATTTTTTTTAGAGGAATGGGTTTTGTTATGTAAATCAGCTTGTCTCCTTGTAGGCAGCACACCGATATTTCACTTCTTCGTTATCGCCAGTGGCTGGGGACCAGCGGCTCATAGCACATCGCTTCCCTCACATGCCAACAGCAATTCGCTAGCACTGTACTGAGGAGTCAGCTGTGACGTTACTGTTAGAGCTGGACACTTGTTAGGAGTTTGAAAGTCAACCAGTGGCATAAAGCTCTTCCCTGGAGCGTCTATCCTCTGCCTTCCTTACTGCCCTTCTCAGGTCCTTCGGACCCTTGTGCTCTCCCTCCAGTGCAAAGGGACCCAGAAACTCAGAGCCAGTTCCAGGAGGCATTGGGTGTCTTTGGGCTTCAATGGTGCTAGAGCAACAGCCGTTCCATTTTGGCTCAGATTAAGTGAGAAAACTCCCCACCAGATTTAACACCAAACTTATCTGGCAGCCAGGGATGTAGGAACCCCAATAACCACCGAGGTGTGTGATACACGCTGGTAGATCTCACAGTACACATCTGTGCATGGACCATCTTCTTCTGAAATATAATGACGCCAGCTTCCTTACAGTGCGGGAATTGCAACCCATTTGGCTATTTTGGTTCTAGTATGCGGGTAGGCAAGTCCCTAGGAAGGGCAGTGGGTTTTTCTAGTTTATCCAGTACAGGCAGTCCCCGACTTACATCGGATCCGCACTTACGAACGGGGATTTCTCACCCCAGAGCTCGCAGGCAGCGATCCGCCACCTTGAGCTCCGGGGCGAGAAAAGCTGCTCCCGGTGCCCCTGGTCTGCTGGGGACTGTCTCCAGCAGACCAGGGGCACCGG